CCCACGGTGCACGAGGCCGCGCGAGAGCAGCAGTGGGCGGAGGCAGCTGAGTGGCTGGGCCGCCGTTTGGAACACGTCAGCACAGCAGTGCGGGCGTGGTGGAAGAACGGGAAGCAAGAGACGTTGGTCTGGGCTCAGAACAACGCCAAGGGCATCCTAGGGAAGGACATCATCGGGCCGCTCCTCGAGCGGAACCACCCAGCATGGCGCGCCGAGCCCGGCCAGGAGCGGGGCAACGACGACGCCACGGACGAACAGGACAACTCAGACAACCTGGACGAGTTGAACCACACACTGCGCCGAGTCGAGGAGGACATGACGAGCCTCCCAGAGAGTACTCCTCGGCGGGCCCCCGCTGTCCTCGGCCCCACGGCCTCGCAGGACTGCCCGTTGGTCGGGGCGGAAGCGGCAGGAGAGCGCCGCCGACCGAAGGGGCGGGGGCGATACGCGGACATCGATTGGGGCAAGTTGGCGAACACAGTCGCCTGGATCGACGCCGAGCACATCACCGAGAGGGGCTTGCACTACGTGACTGCGTGGCCAAGCTCATGACAGTTGCTAGCCAGCACACATGGCGGCGAGTACGACAGGAAGTGGCTCGAAACTGGCGACGCTGGGTGACCAAGCGCAGCCAGGCGGAAGCGGGAGCGCTGCACAAGTGGACTAAGCCGCCTGTGCCGCGGGCCCCGGTCCAGCCGACAGGGCCCCGCGCCCAGCAGGAGCTCGCGCACCCGCGGGTGGCAGCGGACACGGCGCTGGAGGGCTGGGAGACGGTCTGGGCGGACAGCTACAACGCCGACGAGCCGTGGTGCCAGGCCCCCAGCGACGACGAGTGGAGCGAGCACAGAGTCCCGCGGATCACCCCGAGGGACGTCATCGAGGCTTGCGGGCGGTTCCGAGCTGGGACAGGCCTGGGAGAAGCAGACTGGCACCCGCGTCTCTGGAGACATGGCGGGTTCTCAGGTACGGCACGCGTGGCAAGCGTGCTCAATGCGGTGGAGCGAGGAGCGCCGTGGCCCACGTCGCAGGCCACCATCCTCTTCTACCTCACGCCGAAGGCGGCAGGTGGCTTTCGCAACCTGGGCCTTATCCCTGAGCTGGCGCGCGTGTGGGAGACCATCCGCATCCCCTACGCCAGGCGCTGGGGGGCAGCAAACAAGCGAGCCTATGACTGGGCGCGCCGAGGGGGATCGTCGGAGCGCGCGGCATGGCCACAGGCATTCTACTGCGAGGCCGCGCGGGCCGACGGACACGACTATGCGGTGACCTACTTCGACTTGATCAAGTGCTTCGAGTGGGTCACCCATCGGAAGGTGTGGGAGGCGTCGCAGAGATGGGGCTTCAATCCAATCATCATGCGGACCGTCCTCAAGATCTACAGCATGGTGCGGCGCATCGTCCTGGACGGGTGCTACACCGACGGCAAGGCATGGCAGCGGGGCATCGTGGCGGGCAGCAGGTACGCACCGTTCTGTCTCAAGATGGTGATCATCCTCGAGCTGGACAGGCTGGTGCACCAGTCCCCCTGGGCGGACACGTGCCTCTTCTTCGACGACCTCGCCATGGCCACGTACGGCAGGCACGAGTACGCCGACGAGGTCCACCCGCGGCTCATCGAGGCCGTGGTCACCATGTTCGAGGCCACGCTGGACATGGCCGTCTCGCGCGCCGCGGAGGGGAAGACGGTCACCCTGGCATCCTCCGCCGCGCTGGGCCAGCACATCCACAAGAGTACCAGGCACCTCGGCGTGAAAGTAGTCAAGCCCGAGAAGCACCTGGGAGTGACAGCAACAGCATGCAGACGGAGGAGAGTTGCGGCCATCAACAAGCGGGCGCTCAAGTTTGCAGCGAGAAAGGCACGGGTGACAGCCGTGCGCAGAGCAGGAGGAGCGGCGCACAAGCTGATTCGACAAGCCAAAGCGCCAGCCCTCCTATACGGATCCTCAGTCGTCGGCATGGCAGACTCCAAGCTCACCGAGCTCAGGAGGAACGTGGCGGCGGCGATGGAGGGCAACAACAAGGGAAGGTCCACGGCGCTCACGCTGCTCAGCGACAGGACCGACCCAGGCATCCTCGCCAACAGTGGTCCCATCATCGCCTGGGCCACGGCGTGGCAGGAAGCGCTCGACGACGACCAGTTGGCCGCGCGGCTCCAGAGCGCGCGGCGCACCTGGGTGATGAAGATATACAAGTGCAAGGCCCCCTGGCTCACAGTTCGGGGGCCAGCGGGGGCGTTCGTGGCGACGGCCAGGCGCCTCGGCTGGATGACGCAGGCCTCGCACACAGTGACCATCGACGGGAACGTGTTCGACCTCCGCTACACCTTGCTGCAGGACATCCAGCACCACGTCGTGCGCACCACGGAGAGGCAGCTGCAGGACGAGTGGGTGAGCCAGCACGGCCGCCAGCACGGCATCACCTCCATCTTCCTGGCACCAGTGCAAGCACTACTACGGCGGCCCCTCCAGGGCCGATGGACGCAGGCCCACCGCACGCGGGTGAGGGGCCTGTTCTGCGGAGGGACGTGGCCGCAGGCGCGGCTGCACGCATCAGGAGTTGCCACCGACAACACTTGCAGAGCGTGCGGGCTGGCACCAGGCATTGACAGGCACCGCACCTTCGCGTGCCCAGTGCGCCAGCCACACCGCGACGTTGTCGGAGGCCACCATATTCAGCAGCGAGGAGCCAACCCCTGGCCAGGCCCAGGAGCCGATGCCCTCTGGGGACGCGGCATCACGGCCGACCCCGCCGACGAGCTTAGGCTCTGGGAGATAGCCTCGCCCGACGACTGGCTCACCGAGGGCAACTGGGACGGCTTCGCGACAGGGGACATCTACGTGGACGGCTCGTTGCAGTTCGGCGACTACGCACCACTGCGACGAGGAGGATGGAGCTTCACCAAGCTCAAGGACAACGACGAGTACGACATGGACAACGTGTGCTACGGGCCCCTCCCTGGCGCACAGTGGGTCCAGAGCGTCCTGCGGGCGGAGCTCTACGCGCTGCTGCAGGCGCTGCGTGTGGGTACCCCGCCCATGCGCATCTTCACCGACTGCCAGAACGTCGTCGGCGGCGTGATGGCAGGACCAGCGTGGCTCGACAAGAGGAGCCTCCCGCACCTCGACCTCTGGGAGTGCATTTCTCAAGCCATCGCAGAGCTCGGAGGCCTGGGCCCGAGCGCCGTGCAGGTGCTGAAAGTGAAAGCCCACGCGACGCGCACCGAGCGAGCAGCTATCGGGCGCGCGCAGTGGGAGGGCAACAAAATAGCTGATCAGTACGCCAAGCAGGGAGCGCTGTATCATACCCACCCGGTCTGGTGTAGAGAGGTCTACATCGACTGGTTCGGGACATCTTGGAACTCGGAGCCTACATAGGAGTCCTGGGCCGTGACATTGTCTACACTGAGCAGGGCTCGAGTCCCACGGACTCGAACCCCCCCGACCCCCCCTTGGACCCCCTGGACCCTCCTGGGAACCTGGGGGCGGTCGTGGGCGAGGAGGGCGGGGCCCTGGTGGCCCCTGAGCTCCCTGCCCCGCCCCTGGAGGCCGACCTCCCGTTTCGGGCCGCTCTGGACTGGGGGTGCACCAGGGTCGACAGAGCCCAGAGAGCGGGGCACAAAATAGTGACCCGCAGCACGTACGGCTTTTGCCGCAGGTGTGCCAGGTACGCCCGCGACAGGTGGACGGGCCTATTCTCTCCATGTCGCCCTGGGGCCCAAAGGGTGATCGGGGGTAGGCTGAAGCGGTTGTGGAGCGGGCTACACCCCTCCACCAACCAGCCCCTATAAGGGCTCCTGGAGTCGAGGGTCTGGCTCGGGGACGGCCCGAAGCGGCCCGAGGCTCCCACGGCACGAAAGCGCAGGCGGTCGTGATCCGTTTTGGCCCGCACTCATCCGCACTCATCCATCTCCTCCTCCCCCTCCTCCTCCTCCATCTCCTCCTCCCCCTCCTCCTCCTCCTCGGGTCGTTCGAGGTCCGAGGTTTTCGGCGTTTTCGTCAGTTTTCGGCGGCTTTCCAGTCGGGATGCCTTCGAGCGGCCGCGCCCAGCCGAGAGCGTTCCAGGGCTGCCTGGATCGTCCCCGGCGGCCGCCAGTCGGGGCCTAAGAGACGGGGGTCAGTGCAAACGGGGGTCAGCCAGAGCGCCAGATCCTGCAGGATCCTGCGAAGGCCCCCTCTGGCTGACCCGGGTTAGCGAACCGCTCGTGGCCGCGAGGCGGCCGCTCGTATTGGCTGACCCGGGTTTGCGCAGACCTGCATTGCGTTTTTTTCTTGCATTGCAGTTTTTGGTTTCCTGCTGACCCGGGTCTGGATTGACCCGGGTCAGAAGATCCCCGAGCCGTCTGCCCGAGTTGTGATCCAGAAGCCACCCGAAGGCAAGCACCTTTGCCGATCAACGGTTGAGGCAACCTGGTGGGCGGCGGGTGCAGGGTTCGGAATTCGTCGAGCGCGCGGCGGAATCGGAACCCTAGTTACCCCCGCCTCCCATCGGTGCAGGAGAGTCGATGGTTGGTGGGGGCAGGCGGGCTTCGGGAACGCGCAAGCCAGTACTACAGCACCGGCGTGCCCGTGCGTAGTTTAAGCACAGGTTTGAGCGCATGTGCAGTGGCCCCCGTGCTTGGATGTGTCGCTGTGTTCGTCTGTGCGTTTGCTGAGGTGTTCGCACGCGACGTACAACTCTTGAATGAATTCTGGATCGTGCGTGTTTCTGGTCCGCAATGTGTTCAGGGCCGACTTCTCTCCTGCCACCATCGAAGTGTGAAGTGGCACCGTCTGGTACAACATCCTGCGCTACCCCATCCGCCTGTCATGCGCGCGCAAGGAATCGACGGGGGGAGCGGTGATGATTCGCGGACGACACGTCTTCGCCTGGCAGTGAGCATGTCACCCGCAGATTCGTCTTGCAATTGCGCACGGTTTTGGGAGCCCTGCTCTATGCGGGAGCAGCGTTGTGTGTCCCTTCTTCGCGCATCGTCTGCTCCGCCACGCGGGCACCGCCGGCCAGGGGGAGTACGGCAGCAACGTGCCTCCGACTGGACGCCGCTTCTCGCCGTCTCCTCGCTGCCGCGACGGGTGGAGAGGGCACTGCAGCACTGCTCGATGCCCGCGTTCCCCAGAGATCCGATGCTTCCATGCGTTCCAATGCGGGCCCACCCCGGAAGTCTTGACCCCTTCGCGGGGACAGGTGTTTCCTCTCGAGCAGTTCCTGTGGACGGCCCCGGGGCCCAGGGGCCCAGAGAGGGCCCCCAGAGGCCGATCGTTTTGAACATATTCAGTTTTGATGTTGTCAATACGTTGTGTCCGCGCCCGCCTGACCAACCGCAGGGGCCTCGACAGTGCCTCGACGGCGCGCCCGGGGGGAAGTGCAGAGGGGGGCGTGCACTTTCAGGAGGCTCCGAAAACCTCCCGTCTTCTGAGGAGCCTTCTAAGCCTTCTGTTGAGTCGGGCATGTCCCTCTACAGGAGGAACAAGTGGCACGTGTGTCATGGCTCTTGCACAAAAAGGAAGGGGGATGAGGAAGAGGAGGAGGAGGAGGAGGAGGAGAAGGAGGAGGTGGAGGAGGAGTGGGAGAGAGGGGGCAAGACGTCGCCCCTCGGGGCCCAGCAACGGGGCCCAAATCCCAGGTGGGGAGGAGGGGGGGGGAGGTGGTGTGAGTCGCGACGCGGAATAAAGTGCTCGGAGCGCAGTGGGATCTGGGGGCGCGGAGAGGAGGGGGTGGTGGTGGTGTGCGTCGCGACGCGGAATAAAGTGGTCGGGGTGGAGGGGGCACTGGGCGGGGCTTGGGGCAGAGGGCCACGGGGCGGGGTCCAACTGGGGCGCTGGGGACGGGGGGGGGAGGTGGTGTGCGTCGCGACGCGGAATAACATTGTCGGGGCGGAGGGGGCACGGGGCGGAGCCCCCACTGGGGCGCTGGGGGCACGGGGAGGGACGTGGGGGCGGTGGTGTGCGTCGCGACGCGGAATAAAGTGGTCGGGGCGGAGGGGGCAGTGGGCGGGGCTCCCACTGGGCCGTTGGGGACGCGGGGGGGGCTCGGGGCAGAGAGCCACGGCGCGGGGGTCCCACTCTGGCGCTGGGGACGCGGGGAGGTGGTGTGCGTCGCGACGCGGAATAAAGCGTTCGTGGCGGAGGGGGCAGTGGGCGGGGCTTCCTCTGGGGCGCTGGGCACGCGGGGGTGCTCGGGGCAGAGAGCCACGGCGCGGGGGTCCCACTCTGGCGCTGGGGACGCGGGGGGGGGGTGCGACGGGGAATAAACCGTTCGTGGCGGAGGGGGCAGTGGGCGGGGCTCCCGCTGGGGCGCTGGGGACGCGGGGGGGCTCGGGGCAGAGAGCCACGGGGCGGGGGTCCCACTCTGGCGCTGGGGACGCGGGGAGGTGGTGTGCGACGCGGAATAAAGTGGTCGGAGCTCTAGGCACCTTGTGCAAGATACTAATCATGAAATCATTGTCTGTGGACGATTGTTTGGCTATGTTTGACTATGTGTGAGCATGTCTTGGTTATTTGTTATCCGTAGGGGCTTCGCCCCCCTGCCCCCTCGCCCCCCCCCTCTCTTAGAATGGGACTTGCCGTAGCTATGTTGGGATGTCTGGACGCTGACGTGAAGCAACGTCGGGACTTCACAAACTGCAGAATATCTCACAACTGCGAATATTGCATACTCGTCTAAGGTTTATGGCTTCGGGGGCGCGGCTCTGTCATACTTGACGCGGGTGTGTGGTTCCGGGGACGCGAACATTGAGTAATTTACGCGGGTGTATGGCCTCGAGGACGCAACTATGGTGTACTTTATATGGTTGTATGGCTTCGGCGACCCGCGTATACTATATAATTTACTGGAATTTAGGGCCTCGAATCCAATGTTGTATAACGTACGGCAGTTTATGGCCTCGGGGACGCGAACACTGCATCGTTTACAGGAGTTTATGGAGTCGGGGACGCAGGCATTTTATAAATTACGAGGGTGTATGGTCTCGGGGACGCAAATATCGTGCAATTTACACAAGGATTCTGGCGTCGGGGACGCGACTACCGTGTACTTCACAAGGGTTTATGGCCTCGGGGACGCGAACATGGTGTAATCTGGTAGGGATTACGGCCTCGGGGACGCGACTATCATATATTTTGACATGTCCCACGCCCCCCAGGAATTCCGAGAACCCTCCCAGCGCGTGGTAAAGAATCCCGCTTGGGGCTCCCACCCCTCGCGCGGACAGCGACAATCGACAGTGGGGAAGCATAAAGCAGGACTGCAACGGTGGAAACTGGAAACCGCACTGGAACAGCGTGCTGCAGTCTTCACCCTCGCAGCCTGGTGGCCCCTTCCGGCGGGCTCTCGTCCCAAATCCGCCTGTACAGTCGGGGCCCTGAAGAAGGAACCCTTTTCGTTGGGAAGTGGCTCCGCGTTCCTAAAGTGTTTCGCAGCTTGCCTCAGGTTTTCCTTCTGTTTTCGATCGGAAATCGAAGTTTAACTTATGGAAAAAAGGGGGCCTCGTTCCTTATTTTGGGCTCCTTAGGTCAAGGCCCCGACTGTAGGAGGACACGCCCGACAGAACTCATCCCAAGCCTCCTCCGAGGCCACAGCACGCCTCGCAGGAGGGCTGGAGGCCCTCCCGGAAGCCCCGGCGCCTCCCGAGAAGGCCCGTCCGTTCTCCTCTCGGCGCGAGGGCAAGAGGTTTATCCATATCCACTGCGCACATGGTTCACTAACTCAAAACAGACGCCCAATCCTCAAAACGCGGGGGCCAAGACAAAACGCAGACACCTCGAGACTTCGGGGAGGGAGATTTTGGGGTAGGGTTTTACCAGGGTGACGACGACGAACGCAAAGCATACCCCGAAATCTTTGGCCGATCTTCGAATCCTCGGCGAATCCGCGAATTTGGGATTGGGGATGTGTGTTTTTCGTGGTCACTGGTTTCTGGGATACCCGAGACTCCAAGAAGCAGTGGATATTGATAATGCACATCTTGCCCGCAACTCGTATTCGAAGAACACGAGACTACAAATCTTAGTTGTCGGAGGTCCCGCGCGGGATTTCTTGGATAGGCGTTGGGCCCCCCTGGCGGCGCCTCCGGCGCCGCCCCTGGCGCGCTCCGCGCGCCGGGCGTGAGGGTGCAGCACCGATCCAAGAAGTCCGCGCGGACCACCGAGAAATTATCTTTACGACCTAGGATGTGCCTGGCAAAGTCCTGCTACTCTATCTGGCGTTCTGTTCGTTTTCGTCGCCCTCGGCTCGCCGTCGCTTCTGGCCGCCGGGGGGGGGGGGGGGCGCTTTCGGGCCCCAGGGCCGTCAGGAACGGACCCAAGAGGAATAATTACGCTGGGGGCGTTCGTTAAGGAATGTGCCCAGGAGGTTTTAGACCCTGGAGGGCTTTTTATCTGATGAGGGCGGCGATGCTATCCATGGTCAATCCACGGTTCGAGTTCTACCAGCTTCCAGTTCCTGGGTTCCTGATCTAAGGGCTCCTTGTCCACTGCCCCCACCGTCCGTAGCCATGCTGGCTCAAGGCCATGGAGCGCCCGACGACCGCGAGTCGTCCGCGGCGTGTGGAGCGCGAGGGGCTCCCCGCGTTGGGCCAGAGTGCAGTTTTGAACGTTCGAGCTGTGGAGCGGCGCGCGGCCGCGGTGGGATGGCGCCTCCCGCGCGGGGCGCCGCTGCTCCTGGCGATCGTGGCGGCAAGGGCGACGGTACCTACTGGGTGGTCCCTTGCGGCCAGTGGAGCTACTGCACGAGGGCTCGGTGCTTCGGCTGCCAAGCCAAGGCCCCTCCTTGGGCGTCCAGGCGGGAGCCCTTCCAGCCTGGGCCCGACGCCGTGGGCTCCGCCCAGGCGGGCAAGGGCAAAAAGGGCCGACGCAAGGCTCGTGCCGCGGCAGGGGCTCTGGCGGCGAGCGCCTCTGACTCAGGAAGGGGGAGGCAGCAGCCAGGGCAGCAACGGCAAAGGTGGCGGCGGCTCGGAGCAGGCATCCCGTCTGGCAGAGCCGCAGCGTGCCATCGACCATCTGGAGGCCTTCCCCAGCCTGGGTGGCGATGGAGATGAGTTCGCGGCCGAGCGGCCGGCCGCCCTTCGCGCCAAGAAGGGGCAGGCCTCAGCAGCCCAGGCCGCAGATAAGGAGGCAGGGATGATGCCAGCTGGCAGACTGCGTCGAGCGGCCAACGCGGTCAGCAAGGCGGAGCGCAAGGCCGCAGGGGCACGCAGGGCCATGGAGGTTGCTGACGCAGCTGTGGCGGAGGCTGAGGCGGCAGCGCAAGCGGCTGCGGACCGTCTGGAGGGGGCCGAGGACCGCAAAACTGAGGCGCGCGAGCGGCGTGCCGCCTTGGAGGAGGAGGCCGCTGCGGCCAAGGCCACCCAGGAGCGCCTGCAGGTCTCGGCTGGAGACTTGGAGGCCACGCGCGTTTTCCTCCAGCTGTGCACGCTCCCGGCGGCGCACTCGGCGGGCAACTTCGCCAGGGCCTGTGAGCTCACCGCGCAGCAGCTGCAGGCAGCGGAACGCATGTTCTCCCTCCAGGAGCCTGCGGTGGAAAAGCAGCCTCGCGAGCGGTGGGGAGACTGCTGCCCGATCGAAGGCGGGGCGATTGACTCCGACTCCCACGCCGAGCTGGAGGTCGATGTTCAGCCAACTGCCGAGCGTGGGCAGGCAGAGAGGCGAGGCCCAGCGGCGGGCCCTTGGCCGCGGGTGCCGCAGGGCGCGGTGCGCGAGCTGGTGGCTGAGGCATCCGATGTGGGCCCGTTGGCGACCGCACCTGCAGGCAACTCGGCGGCCGCTGGCGGCGCGATGCAGCGGCTTTAGCCCCGGCGGGGCTGCCCCCGCCACAGGCGCGCGCACGCTGGAGCTGGCAGCTACGACCCCGAGGGAACTAAAGGCGGGAAGTGTAGCCACCATCAACGGCTCCAACTGGGCAGAACCAAGACGGCGATCGAGCAGCTGCGACATGGCGGCTACCAGGGCGACCTCTTCCTCGTGCGGGAGACGCGGTTCACTGGGGCTGCAGCCGTCTCTTCGGCACAGGGCTGGCGCAGGCGCAGTGGCTTCTTGGCAGCGTTGGGCCCGTGCAAGCGCACGTGGCCGCTGGCCCGGGAGGTTTCTACTGGCGCGGGCGCCCTGACCGCTAGCTTGCGTGGAGTGGCGGTGATAGAGCAGGACTGAGGCGACCTCTCGCACCTCGTGCTGGCGCGCAGAGTGGCCTTCGGGGACCTGGTGATCGTGGCGGTCAGCGTCTACCTGGAGCACTCTACCAGGCATGCGGGGGCGAGCATGGAACTGTCCGACACGGCGCAGGAGTTCCTGAACAGCTTGAGCGAGCCCTTCATCGCGGGAGGCGACTAGAACATGGAGCCCCAGGAGTCAGGAGCTTTTGGCATCACGGTGGCCATGGTCGGTCGGAGGTGCAGTTCTTGAGTCAGAGCCATCCACCTGCAAGGGCAAGAAGTTCGACTACTTCGTGGTCTCGGCCGCACCTGCAACGCTGGGGCCAAAGTTGAAGCTCTTCGGCCTGCCGCGGCGCATCCTCGCTCGCCAGTGCGCATCACCTTTTGCCAAGCTGGGCGTTCTGGCGCAGGTCTGGGTGCCGCAGTCGCCTCGGATGTTCAGCGCGACGGAGTCGGCGGCGGCGGAGGCGAAAGCTAGAACCAATGCGGCCACGCAGATGGCGCAGCGGGAAGCCCCTCACCTGGACTCCCGAGGCGTTCCCGATGAGGCGGCGCGCGAGTTCTATGACAAGGCAGAGCTGCACCTCACCGAGCTGTTCGAGATCCAACAGGGAAGCTCGCACTTCTGTGGACGTTCCCCCGGGGTCCGCAGGGCCCGGAAGTGGCATGAGGGACCTGTGGCGCACCGAGGCGGCCAGCGCGGCGGCGCAGGCGCCGCCGACTGGGCGCAAGGCCTACATGCAGCACCTGGAGGGCTCCGCCTACGCTCCAGTGCCGAACTTCTCCCAGTTGGGCTGCAATAGGTTCGCTGGCGCGAGCGTCGGCTGCTGCTGGAAGATGCGAAAGCGTCCGCGAGCGCTGGCAGCACCTTCCTCGGTGCCATAGATGCGGCCACTGCCGGCCATGCGGGGTCGGGCGCCCAGCTCGCGCGGCGCCGCTGGTCGGAGTTCGCGGACGACGCCTTGGCTGCCGGCGGCAGTGGAGCGCGCACAGTCAGCAAGCAGGTGAACGCGGAGCAGACTTTTGCGTGCTCGCGGGCGAGGGTCCTGATGCAGACTCCTCTCCAGCACTTCCGGTTGGGCGGGCAGCCCTGGGCCAGACACTGCTGGAATGGAAGGGGCTCTGCGTTGACAGGAGTGCCCCAATTGCCCCAGAGCGGAACGCAAGTCCGAGAGTGTTCACCCCTCCCTCGAGCTGGTCGGCGCTCGTGGACCTGCCAGCCTGCGCAGGGTCTGAGGTGATGGCCGTTGCCAGGACCTTCTCCAAGAAGACCGCCTTGGGCTGGGTCGGCTTCCACCCGCGCCTACTGCTGCTGCTGGGCCAGCCCTTCGCGGACCGCGCGGCGGAGCTGCTGGCGGCGCGGGGGCGTGACCCTGGACCCTCTGGCCTCTTCGCCACGCTGACCCTGTTCCTTGCAAAGCCCGATGGCGGCTGGCGGCCCATCGGGCTGATGGCTTTCCGGGCGCGCCTCTAGGGCCGCAGTCGGCGGCGGCGCTGCGCCAAGTGGGAGGCCGAGCACGAGCTGCCACAGGTGCGGGGATGCAGCTCGGACGCCAGCTGCGACAGGGCGGCCTACCTCCACAAGCCCTACCTCGGCATGGCTCGATCAAGAGGGTTCGAGGGCGCCTCCGTCTACTTCGACATCATCAAGTTCTACGAGTGGGTCGACCACAAGCAGCTCGTGAAGGCGGCGCAGGAGCATAACTTCAGCCCTGGCCTGGTGAAGGCCCTCTGCGTAGCCTACGCGGGCCCCAGGCGGGCGTCGGTGGACGGCGCGGCCCGTGAGGAGATCTGCGTGGCTGGCTCGGCGATCGCAGGCTGCTCGTGCGCCACCGCGATGGCTCGGCTGGTGCTGTGCGACTTACTGCTTCGCGGTCGCTCGCTCCTCCAAGTTGGACGGGTGGTGAATGTGATCGTCGACGTGGCGGGGCACGCCACAGGCGCGAAGCGGATCTTGGTGCACCGAATCAACCAGTTCGTCGCAGGCATCGTGACCATGCTGAGGGACAAGCGCCTGCCCATTATTATTTGGAACAAGACCAAGGTGCTCGCCTCGTCGGTGGCCCTGCAGAGCGAGCTGCGAGCGCAGGCGGGATGGCCGCTGCCCGCTGGAGCTCTCGTCGCGGGCCACCGCGACCTGGGCGGAGACGCGGCTGTTGGATGCCATCGCAGGGCGACGGCGCAGGTGCCCCGTGAGCTAGCGGCCCTTCGCCAGGCGGATCGCCTGAGTCGCATCTTCGGGCCAGGGCTGCAACGAGCTGGGGGCTGTGCCGACAGCTCAGGCCACATGGGGCTCGGCGACGTCTGGGGCGCCGCGGGGTCGCGCGCGGATCCTCCAGGTCGCCGCGGCGAAGAGTGCGGGGAGCAGCGCTATGATTCGCGCTGCAGTGCTCATCCCGCGGCTGGCGACAGGACCACCTGGTCATCGCGACGGGCGTGGCGGGGCAGGCCTTCGTCAGCGCCGCGTGGGCTCGTCAGGCCTGGCCAGCGGCTGTCAAAGCCTGCCTCGTCGACTGGCTCGGCTCGAGCGCGGCCCGCTGCCCTGGGCGGCGGTGCGGGACCCCGTCTCGGCGCTGGCCCTCGCGCTGAAGCGCATCAGCTGGCGGCTGACGGGGGGCGCCCTCCTTCCGAAAGATGAGCAGGGCTTGGCGTTCGACGCCAGATGCTGGTCGCCCTCCCTCTCGGCGGAGCGAGCGCGCGAGGCGACCGGGAAGGTGGCTGCACTTGACGAGTTCCGAGCGCGGCCCGAGGCGCCCTGGCCTTGGCGCCCATCGCCTGCTCGGAGGCCCGTCAACGATCGAGCTGCTGGGGAGGAAGGCCACGGAGACATGGGGCAACCGCCGCAAGGGTTGCCTGCGCTGGCCGGCCTCAATGGCACACTGGCCCCAGGCCAGGCTTGCCAGACACAAGGGGGATATCAGCCCGACGCGCCTCCTGTGCCAGGCGGGAGCGGGGGCGATCTTCCACGGGCGTTTCGAGCGCCCAGCCTGGCAAGCCTGGAGGCGTGACTGCCCATCGTCAGATTCGATCCAGGGAGCCAGCGCGGCCCGCCGCCTTGGGGGCAAGTTCGGGGAGCCGTTCGCCCGGGGCCTGTTCGCGGGCGCCGCCCCCTTGCTGAAGCGCCCGCGCTGGCAGCCGCGCTGGGGGGGGGGCAGCGCGTAGGATGGGAGAGCCCCATGGTCGTCCCTGCTGGCGCCATGGTCGTCACGGACGGTTCCTGCATCAATGTGCGGTTCCCCTCCCTGCGCGGCGCTGGCTGGGCAGTCATCGCGATGTCCCAGTACGGCACAGTGCTGGCGCGGGCCTGGGGAGCGGCGCCACCGCGCGAGTTGCCCTCGCAGTCGGCGCGAGCAGGCGAGGATTACGCGGCGGTAGTCGCCCTCGAGGAGATCGTGGGTACGTGCGAGATCCCATGCGATTGCAAGGGGGCGGTCGACTACATCCGCGACCCGAAGGGAGCGCAAGGGCCGACCTCGCTGCGCGCCCACCTGCGGGCTCAAGTCGGAGATGCCGCGGAGGGAGCGGCTGCCGGGCACATCCTCCTGCCCGCGCGTCCGAGGAGGCGGTCAGGCGCGGGGGGGTCGGCGCGCCCGAAAGGGGAGGCAACCGCGTTGCCGACCAGCGCGCCAGGCTGGGAGCTAGCATGCACGCAGCAGATGATGACGATGTGCTGATGCTGCCTGCGGAGATCGAGGTCCGCGTCTCCGACCTAGGCGCCAGGGGCTGCTGGCCGACGGCGGCGCTTGAGGACCTCGACCTCGGGATCCCCGAGTACCTCGCCGTGGCCGGCGCCGCTGCAGGGCCCCCCCAGGCGCGGCAGCGGCCGCTGGGCTTGAGGCGGTGGAAACTGCGGCGGCCTCCAGCGCAGGCGGGCCCCCCCGCAGCTCGGGCGGCCGACCTGCGCGCAAGCGCCCCGCTGCCTCTCCGCTGGTGGCGCTTGGCGAGATGGCCGTGGCGGACGGCTCGGGGGCGCCGGGCGACGCTGCTCGGGGCGCGAAGCGAGTGGCGCGCACGACCCAGGCGGCCCCAGCTGGCGAAGGCGATGCTGATGGTGGACGGTCGCCCCCGCCCGTGGGAGGTGACCCCTGGCGGGCGCATGGGCACCAGCTGGCTGCTGCGGGGTCGCACGCTGCGCGGCGACTCAGAGGAGTTCTCGGCGCGCGCGACCTGCCGCAGGCACGCGTGGACCTCGAAGATGGCCTGGAAGGGGGCCCCGCGAGGAGTGCGCGGGGGCCGCGGCGAGGGCCCGGGCGGGATCCAGGGCGCAGTCTCGCAGCGGCTTCGAGCGCGGCCTGTTGCTTGGCGCTGGCGGCAAGCAGGCCTTCGGCGCGCCGATGGCGCCCGCGCCCCAGGTGAAGGCGCGCTGGATGGAGCCAGAAGGTCGACGCCGCGGCGGAGCCTGGGGACGGGGCGAGCGCGGCGGCCCCTGCAGCCGCCAGCCTGGCGGAGGCCGAACAGCCCGCCGGGCGAGGGGGGACCGCCGCCCCCGTCGAGGCCGAGGGCGCCAGCTCGCCTGCGGGGGCCCTCATCCTGCCGCCCGTCGACGCGGCCCTGCTAGCTCGCGGGTTCACCCCCGCCGAGCGGGCGCGGGCGGGGGGCCAGGCGGCGCGGGTGGCGAGGGCGGCCGCGGCGGG